TTATAATAATGTATAATAATGTTTTTATAATAGTAAAAGACTATATTCTTATAATATGTATTCAACACATTATTAAGGTATATAGGGACTATGCCTCATCAATTCTCATATGCACAGAAGTACTCTTGGATATGAATATATAACCTGTGTTTAATGAAGTAATCACTGCATATTTTTATCACAGATCATACTATATTGTATGCATTAACTCCATGATTGCTTAATGGTGTAGAAAGTGAAGGGTCCCAGGACAGGGAAACAAAGCTGTAGAGAGTATCATTCATCAAAGTACCAAAGTGTAAGAATATCTAAAAAACACAAATGGTAATTCTGGTGGATGCAATCTGTACATCACCCTAGAGCATTCGGCTGCTGAGGTGAGTGAAAGAATTTGAAGACAGCGGTTTCACGGGCCAAGGACAGGGAGGGAATGGTGGAGCTCAGGTGGGGGCTGCTGGGTGACTCGGCTGAGCTTGTGATGTTTTAGGGAGTGGGGGCAATGGTGACAGATCTCAGTGGGATAAGAAGAGGGCACTTGGAGGAAAAATGATGTATTCGTTCACCATCATGTCCGACTTTCTTTCCATACCTGACTTCCCCACAGTTTCTTCTTTCCTAGCTTTTTCTTATTCCTCATTTGACTCTGTCCCTCTCTTCTCTCACAAATATTAGAACACAACTGAAGTATAGACTTTATATCTACTTTTCTTCTTTGACAGATTTATTTCATATTTCATAAAACATAAGTAGATTTTGGATCTTGTTGTTGTTAGGTGCCACTGAGCCTATCTATTTCAACTCATAGTGACCCCATGAACAGAACGAATCATCACCTGGTACTCTGCCATACAGCTTTCATTTAAAAATACAGAAAAACTCAAGTTGCTCTAAAATATATAGTACTTATTGATGACTTCATGATCATCAATGACCCTGATAGAAAAAAAGGAAGATTTTTATTTTTAGGTAAATTAAACCTATTTAGATTGTTTGCAACATTTCATTTAGTTGTCTTGGTGACAACTGGTCAACAAACTCATCCAACAACTCTTAATTGCTGGTCCCTGTGCTAAATGTTGGGAGCTTTGGTAGCATAGTGCCTAAGGCACTTGACTGCTCACCAGAAGGATGGCGGTTCAAACCCACCAGCCCCTCCTTGGAAGGAAGGTTGGGCAATCCTACTTCCATAGTGATACTGCCTCAGAAACCCAAGAAGGGGTCGCTATGAGTCGGGACCGACTCGACGGCAAATAACAACAACAACAACAAGTGCTAAATGTTGAGGATAAAACAAGGAGCTCTAGTTTTATCAAATAAAGTCAAATAAAGGACAAATCTTTCCTGGAAGAAGTGTAGCTGGAATGCTCCTTAGAAGCAAGAATGGCCAGACCTCATCTCACCTACTTTGGTCATGTTGTTAGAAGGGACCATTCACTGGAGAGGGATGTCATGCTTGGTAACGTGAAGGGTCAACAAAAAAAGGGGCAGACCCTCCACAAGATGAATTGATACAGTGGCAACAAATATGGGCTCAGGTATAGCAAGGATTGTAAGGCTGGCACAGGATGGGGCAGTGTTTCATTCTGTTACACATAGTGTTACTTTGTGTCAGAGCCAACTTGATAGCACCTAACAACAATGATAAAGGCTTTGCTATGACAAATTTAAATTAGTAGTAATTTGAAACAATTTTAGCAAATAGTTTTAAAAATATATGTGTGAACTAAGAACAGTAAGCATACCATAGAAAAATAAACTCCATATCTTCTTGATGTTTACAGAAGTCGTTGTTGTTGTTGTGTGCCATCCAGTCAGACCCGACTCATAGTGACCCCTCCTTGGGTTTCTGAGGCGGAATCACTACAGAAGTAGACTGCTCAACCTTCCTTCCGAGGAGTGGCTGGTGGGTATGAACCACCAACCTTCTATTTAGCAGTCTAGTGCCTTAGGCACTATGCTACCAGAGTTCCTACAGAAGTCATTAATGGACAATTAATCTGAATTTGACCTCTCTTATCTTCCCTCATAAAAAAACAAACTCACTGCCATAGAGTCGGATCTGACTCATAGTGACCCCTCTTTGGGTTTCCAAGGAGGCATCTCTAGGAAGTAGATTGCCCAATCTTCTTTCAAAGGAGTGGCTGGTGGGTTAATCTCACCAGCCTTCTGGTCAGCAGTCAAATACCTTAGGTACTACAACACCAGAGCTCCTAATCATACACTCTTACTGAAGATTCTGCAAAGGGAAAAGATTCCAGATAAACTCTTTCTAAATATAAAGATGCTATGTGGACAATTGAATATACTTTTGTGATTATTAAAACAGTTCACATCCCACCTTTCTTTTGCCTGGAGATCCTTTTTTATTAATGCTTCAAACTTCTTAATCTCATTGGCAACATCCTTTAAAGAAAACTCATTATTAGTTAGTTCTCTTCTTCTAAAATTCATTGAAAATCTTCATTTAACATACTCATTCAAGTTTATAAGGTGACATGCATTATTTATTCTAGCCAATTAGAAGGCAAGATATAAAAAGTCTGCATTCTAGATTATCTTTATAATTTTTATAATTCTTAGTTGTTACTTTTAAAGTAGTCTAAAAATACCTAAAAGAACATAAAAATTGCATAAACAAAATCACTCATTTTAGGATTCCTGCTCTGACAGTGTACCAAAGGTCATTTAGTGAGACTAGACATTATCAGGAGTCAGGACATATATTTTCAATTGCAATTTTTAAAACATGAGTAAGCATTTTTTGTATATAAGTTACTACTCCTTAAAAAATTTGTCTCAGGTGTTTTAAACATTCCTTACTTACATTATTTTTTTTGTCCTCTGAAAATTAATTTAGTCCAACCACTGCCTACTGCAAATACTTATCAATAAGCTTTAATCGATCCAAAGACATATGGCAATACATTACTAAATGAGGTCAGAAAGAAACCTCTATAGGTGATATTTTTTAAGAACCCACATACAGGATATTTTGTTAGCATTTAAAAAAACTAAGAAGGATAGATTGATACAAAATACAATAAAGTCAGCAGACAGCTCATCAGTGTCACTTGACTAACGCTGTAACTTGGGTATGTCACATCACCTTTCTGATTTCAGTTTCTTTATCTACAAAATGGTGAAAATGCTACTTAGAGACTTATTTACACATTAGGTAATATGATGAGTCCAGTTCAGAGCCTTGCGTAAAGCAGATGCTCAATAAATAGTAACATTTATTCTTTTTCTTAGTCACACAGCAAAATAGTATTGTCATTGTAGCATTACACAGTACAGGTTGCAGGAATGAGTTTCAAAATGCAGTATAGCTCCCTTATGAAACAGAATCATATCATATTCTTTGGCGTGAGTAACAATTGGAAGGGTCTAGCAGGATATCATCAGTGTAGGTATCTTAAATTTAAATATACTGATACAAACAAGTCACTTAACATATCTGAACTGCACAGAAAAATAGTGTGGCAAGGTGAGGAGGAACTGAGTAAGAACCTACAGAAGGAATGGAGCACAGATGATAGGTGGAACATGACTGGCCCCTGCTGTACCCATGGAAGTCATGACCAGTTGACAATATCCATTCGGGCCTAGTTTGGTGTGAGCCTCAGGACCCAGACAAGACTCACATTTAATAGGAGTTTGCCATCCTGGACCTAAAACTAACATTCACTGATTCTGAACAAGTAAGAGCATAAAATGGAATGGATATGCAAAAAGTAGAGAAGTTTTCAGTAAGCAGAAATAATATAATAAGGAAGTGAGAAGTTTTAGGAGGTATCTGTGCATGTTTTAGGAAAAGACCATTCTTTCATTAAGACAAACAAATCACAGCATTAAAGGATTACCACTCACCTCTGCCTCTTTCTTCTTTTTCATCATCTTTTGGGCCTCAAGTGCTTTCAAAGTACGATTTGATGCAGGTTTAGGAATCTGTATGATAGCTGCTTGGATTTTGGCCATTATTTCATTCTGACGTCTTCTGCCCAAGCGTTGCTGCATATCCCATACACAGAGTAATTCCGTTCATCAGAGTAATAGGCAATGTTACACACTCACACATACACATACTTTAAATTTATCTACTGGAATTTTCAGAACCCAGAAATTAACCAATGACCTAGGTGTGACAATTGTGTAATGTTATAAAGGTGTCAATATGACTTGTTTTAAAAAATATGACACTAAAACACAATTTTGGAATCCCCAAATTATGCCTATTAGATGTCATTCTGGGTGACAATATGAAAAAGAAGATAAGGGTGTCCCAAGTACATAAATGTGTAATTTTTCCCCAGTCCAAGCTTCTGACCTATCCAATAGTGGGAATTCTGAAGAGAAAATAAACCCAGGAGTAATCTCTAGGAGGGCTCCTGGTGAACCCCCCAAAATGACAAGCTTCCCAAAACCCCAGTCACACATAAATCATCAGTTCAGGAATGACCTGAAACATTAAATTAATATGAAATCATCTGACACTATTATTGCATCATCTCTCCTATATATACAAATAACTATTTTAAGAAGAATATAACGACCCAAATGAAAGAAAAGAAACTGAAAATCAGATAAGTTATTTTAAAAAGTAAATTAAAGGTAACATGTGACACTAATCATGATTTTATTACTAAAGCATTATGTTAGAACTACATAAGGTCTTTAGTTGCTACGTCCAAATATAAGAAACTCCAATTTACCACTAAAAAGACAGAAATTATAAATAATTTTAAAATGTCAAAATATATGAAATTATTTGTAACATATTAATAATTATGTCCTCCCCACTATTTCTTCATTTCATCTTTCAAAATGTGACTTTCAATTTCACTGCATTATGTTTATTACATTTTTCTCATGAAAACCAGAAAGATAATGCTCTGCCTATTGCCTTATTTGATTGCAATAATCATTTTTAACATGATTTTGCTCAGAATATTTAATGGTGTCATATTGCTTTTCTTTAGAGACTTCTGCATTAGATTTAGCATTTCAATCAGACACTGGTTGCATATGAATGAGTTCCAGAACTTGGTCTCAACAGTACTTTCAAAGAGCTTTGTCTCCTTACCAGGCAACTCCAAGGGGGAAGCTTAATACTTTATCCATCCTCTGGCAAGTACTGAAATCATTAGCTCTTACAAAGTCTGTCTCTCATCTTTCCCTCCCTCACCCACAAGAGTTTTTATGTCTTTCCCCTTCATTCAGTTATTCCTTATTTAGCTGACCACATTTAGCAGGTATTAATTTCTTATCATCCTAAATATATGAATTTTTTCAATGATTCATAGTGCAATGAGGAGAACTATAACTATTTTTGCCTATAGTTTACACATTCCAAATACCCAGTTATCTGAAATTCTCTTAAAAATCTTTAATAATTCTAACTCAAAATCGTTTGTGTTGTTGTTGTTGTTGTTAAGTGCCGTCGAGTCGTTTCCGACTCATAGCGACCCCATGCACAGCAGAACGAAACACTGCCCGATCCCGCACCA